TAGCAGTCCATGGTATTCTCAATACTCTTCTCGAGCACCACAGCTCAAAGGCATCAATTCTCTTTCTATCCTCCTTGGTCATTGTCCAACTCTCTGATGCATAACAAGTGACTGCGAAGACCATGGCCTGTATCAGACACCTAAGAATTTTTCTGTACACGTAGAATGGCTAGATGTCTTCTCCCCCCTTGACCTCGTGTTATGCTTACAAAAATACCACAAATAGGTGATTTCAAAGAACCATTTATTTTTGCACAGTGTTTTACATTAAAGGTTTGAACTCAGGGTATATATAAGGCTTAAGATCATTAACTCTTTCAGCTTGCATCAGTCCCAGGCATTTTTTGGCACTCTTTGGCTTGTAGATGGGCCCTCATATGGTGAAGTCCTGCTAAGTGTGCCTTTCCGTGTCTGTGCTGCTCTTTTTATAAGGCATCACTCAGAAAGGATTAGTTTCAGGACCCACCCTTCTCTGGTAAAGAAAACCTCTATGTCCAATATGAATCACAGCCACAGGTGTGAGGAGTTAGAACTTGAACACTTGTTTTTGTGGGCCACAATTCAATCCGTAACACTTGATAATAGGTAAGTGAGCATGTAACCTTACAAGGTAAAAACAAATTGCTTTGCAAATGATGTGCCAATATATAATCCCACTTGCAATTAAAAAGATGTTTTCTGATTCTTATCTTCTTCACTGGTATTTTCCAATCTTTTAAAATTTGATGAATAATGCCCTTGTTGGTAGTGGTGTGCCGTCAAGTGAGAATCAACTTCTAGCTGATCCTCCAGTGAGTTTTCAAAGGCAGTAAATCACACAGGAGATTACCCGTCACTCTCCTTTGGAGCAACTGTTGGAACTGAACTGCATGCCTTTGGGTTGGCAGCACAAGTCCTTACAAATATCCTTTCATGTATTTTGTCACATCTTCATAAAACAGCCATTTTTTCCTACCTTTTGCCCATTTTCCCACAGTACAATTTTGAAGGGAAGAAAATAGACATATTTGTAGTGCTCCCAATTTTTAAAGTATGCAAACTGGAAATAAGGTTGTCATTAGGTGCCACCAAGATGATTCTGACTAATGTTGATCCCATGTAATGATTAGAACTGTCCTAAAATGGTTTCCTGGCTGTAACTGTTAGAAGCAGATGGCTACGTCTTTCTCCTGCAGAGCTGCTGAGTGAGTTCAAACTGCCAACCTTTCAGCTGGCAGATAACATTTAACTTTTGCACCACCAGTACTTTGATGTAATGATAGATTATCCTTTTCAAAAACATTTTCACATTAAGTTTTTTATATTTGTATCTGTAAGTATGACTCGATATGATTTTCATCTACTTAATGCATCTTCTTTTGGTATCAATAAAAGATATACTGGGGTGACAACAGAATGAGTATTTCCTTAATTTTTATTTTCTAAAAATGTTTGTATAAAATATTAAAATAGTATGGTCTTTGAAAGAGAAGTAAAACTTATCAGGTAAGTTGCATTTTTTTCCTAGAGTTTGCTTTACTCTGTATAAGTTTCAAATATATTACATCTAATATTCTCAAAGTAATCTTTTATCTTTTTCATATCTTTCTCAGTATCTGTGTTATGAACATTTCCTCATTTTTTTTTTGTTTAGTTGTGATATTTCTGCTGGTTCATTTATGTCAGTTTACTGAATTTTCATGAACACAACTTCTGACACTGTAATTCTACTATCTTTGGTTTTGAAATCCTGGATGTCTTACTTTGCTTACATTTTCTTTCTTTATCGTGTTTAATCTGTTGTTCTTTTCTTACCTTAATAAATTTGCTCACCTAGTTAATCTTAGTCAGCTATGCATGAATCAATTCTAACTCTATGGCAATGAGTTTGACTTTTCTCACTAAACTTATGTATTTAAAGTTACTAAATTTCCTCAAAGTAATGTTACAACCATACCACACTAATTTCAGGAAATTGGTAGCTTAACAATAAAGAGTTGTGCTGCCAATTCAAAGGCACGTGGTTCAAACCTACTACTACACGAGAGAAAGACGAGTGATCTTCTCTTGTACAATTAACTGTCTCTGAAAACCCACTGAGGGCTCGGTTATGGGTTAGTTCCAACTTGATGGTACACAACAAGCATTCACGTTTTCATTAAGAAATAAATATTTATAAATTTCCATTTTTTTCACCCATGAATTAGTTTTTAATATTTGTAAATTTTTTTTAAATCACTAACTTTTATTACTAATCTCTGGTTTCTGATTATTCATTTAATACTAATTATTTTAAATGTATTATAACTTATTTTATACCTAAAAATGGTTAATTTTTATATACTTTGTATATATAAGGATGATAATGATGGCCTAGCTTTTAAATACATTATTCAGTACATACTGGTTAATTCAATACTCTCAATTACACCATTGACATTTGATTTTGACCATTTTCTGTCCTCTTGATTTTCTAGTACTTAAAAAGGTATGTTCAAACTTCTCAGTATAGTGTTCAATTTGTTGATTTAGGCCAAGGTTTCTATCATTTTGGGATTCAGGCATTTTGAAGTCATTATATTAATTGTATACAATTTAAACAATATTACCTTTCCTTTGTGAAATGATCTACTTGCCACTTTTGGGGTATCTTCTCTATCTTTAATAGTACTATTAAAAACTCCAATTTTATTTTATAAGTTTTAGAGCTATACAAGTGTTTCTTATTTTTTAATGTAACCAACATGTTTTTGAAAAAACTTTAAATCTATTTCTGTGTTTTAATTTAAAATAGCATTACCTAGATTTCATTTAAAAAAATCCTAATTTAAAAATATGTCATATAGCTAGTACTTCAGGGTATTAATGTTTATTTTAATTATTAATTAATTTGAATTTTAATGTGTTACTATCACTTTATAATTTCGTCTTATTCTTCTGTAATTTCCCTTTTGTGTGGTTATCACATTATTTGCTTCCTATTTCATTTGTTTAAATTTCCTTTAGTCAATACTATTCTCTTAATAGTTACATTTGAAATTACGCTATATAACAAAATTGAAACAATATATTATTTTCCAAATAAAAATTTTCTGACTCATTTTATTACCCTTCTCTCATCTAAGCTATTGTCAAGATTTTCAATTACATCCTTATTTTTAAATTCTACTTCATAGAGATGTGATATTTACTATAAGTTCCCTTCTTAATTACTTTTTTCATCACAGTTATTTCACAGAAACAATGTTTTAGATTAATATACACACACATACATATATATATATACACATATATATATATTTATCATTTAACTTCTTCAATAGTTCCATTTTTGACCATGCTTTGGGATAATTTTTCTATGATCATACTTTTGCACTATAGTGGAGGTGTGAAGTGGTAAAATCTGTTTGTCTGAATGTCTTCAAAATTTTTCTTGGTACATGTTCACAGCTGAAAATTATTTTTCAACATTGTCTAAGTACTGTTCTAGTATCTTTTGGATACTAGAGGCCACCTGCTAATTGCTACAGAGGCACATACTGAGTTTTTTCCTATCAGAACTTTACTGACAGCCTATTTTCCCCCCCTCTTAGATTGCACTAAAAATTTTGTTTGTAATTTTGTCATTTTACTAACATAAGGTATAAGCATGCATTTTTAATACAAGTGTTTGGAAAATGCTGTGCTTCCTGAAAGAACAATTCTTTGTTCTCTCACCAATATTGCCTCTTTTCCATTTATCCTCTCCTCTATGACCTCTAGTACTTACATAATTTATTTAATATTCTGTAGTTCTTGCTTCTCTATGTTCCTTACTGGGTAATATCTCTACATCTAGCTTCTTAATAATTAATTTGTTCTTTAGCTGCATCTTACATGATATTTGACATTTAAGGTGTTTTTATTTTAATAAATCTATTTCTCATTTCTAAAAGTTGTATTTGGCTTTCTTAAAATATGTCTGTGGTTCCATCCGTTATTGCTAGTATTCATAATGAAAACTTGGTAAATGAAATCTAATACTTATTATTTTATAGGTTATCTCACATTAACCAGTTTGAACTTGTGCATGGTAATCTTGAGTCACAAAATAGCATGGCTTAGATTTCATCTATAGGAATCTTTTGCCTAAATAAGAATGTTTTTCCCCTTGAGATAATCAACATTTGCTTCTGAAAGCATCTTTAAGAAATGAAGGTAGAGTTTCAGATTATAATTTCTCTCCTATTTATGGTCCCAAATAAACTACATTTAGCATTACTGTTAATGACATTTGTCCTTAAACAATCAGAAGTAACTCTTACCAACTGGGATGAGGAAAGATAGAGCTGTAGTTCTTGGAGATTTCTTTGTGTCTGGCAATGCATTCAAAAGTAGATTTTATTCAAGATCTAATTGATTTTCAGTATCTAATCTAGCATTATACTCTAGAAGCAGAAGTCTTAATTTAGACATTAATAATTACAATATATAGAAATTGCATGATTTATACCAGTCCTTACTGACTGAAAGTTCTCTGGAAAAACTGCTTGAATCCTCTACTGTAACAGAGTATGCAGTATTTTGGGATTGAGTGTATATTAGAAAAGTCTTAGTGTATGTTTATCCAACAGATTATTGTACTACTTTATAGAAATGTCTCCTGAGGTTTTGCTATTAAGATAATCCTGATAATTCACATTTTCAATGTCTTGATCAATGTGAGATTGAGATTAATAGGAGTAAAATCTGTGAAAATATGCTGTATGTTTTATGCCTTTTAAAAAATAGATAATAATTATTTGTTACATGCAATTTCTGCCTAGATGCATAATTTTATTTCTGGAAAGCTGGGCCACCTATTATATAAGCAGGCCTTAACAAGGCAACTGGTGATTTCATCTTAGTTGGAAACAGCTTATAGGCATTTATGGCAGCAGATCTAACTGCTATTGTATTAAATGTAGATAATCTGTTTGGGTCTTCATCATTCACAATTGTTGGTCATTCTCCGCTGATCAGGAAACGATCTGTGCCTCTTTCTAGTCACTGAAGTAATGAAAGGAGATACCTGCAGCAAGGAGTGCCACTGCAAAGGCTGTAATCGCACCTAAAAGAAACAAAACAGATGGACATGGAAAGAGCAAAACAGAGCTTTCTTTGATCCTAGGCAGTAAGATACTGGGAACTACTGGGCCTAAGCAACACATAAAAATATTAAGATTTAGCAAGATGCAACTACACCAATAAACTGGAAAATGAGATTGCAAAAGTCAGGACTGATCATCACTTATTTCATTACTTTGATAACATTCTAAAAGGAAAAAGAAGGAGAGGAGTATTCTCTCATCCACATGTATGTACTTACACATACCTATCTAAGAAAACAAAACAAAATAAAAACTTTCCTAGGTTCTATGTATATTAATATTGGTATAACACCTTTTATGTTATTTGGCTTCAACCAAAAAGAAAACAGCAATGAGTAGTGATTTGTACCCAATATAGTGCAGTCATTTTTAGAGCTACTGGAATATATAGAAGCTTGGCTTCCACAATTATAAATCCTACACTTTAGTAAGTCTGGAATGCTTACTTTTTTATTATCTGTAATTCCCAGAAGGGAGCTCTGGTAACCTAGTTAGTAAGCAGTTGTGCTGCCAACCAAAAGCCAGGGATTCGAATCCATTAGCTGTTCCAAGGGGAGAAAGATGGACAGTCTCCTCCTATGCAATTTTCAGCCTCTTAAAACGCACTGGAAGGAAAGCTATGAGTCTGACTCACAGAAATGAGTTGTTCATTTATTATAGTTACTAGATAATACTTTTTTTAAGCATTTAAGCAATTGAAGTTTTTATAATGAATAAGTGGTGATTTGATGACAAGGAGCTGCACTGCCAACAAAGGCAAGTAGTCTGAACCAACCAGTTGCTCCATGGGAAAGATGGGCAAATTGCCTCCTGTGTGATTTATAGCCTCTAAAACCTGGCTGGATGGTTAGCTATAAGTTGGTTCCAACTCAATGGCACATATAACAACAATAAATAAGAGATACTAAGAGAACTAAAACTAAAGTTTCTGTCTCCTAATTCTTAGTCAAAAGTCTTAATGCTTATAAAATTATTTTTTAAATTGCTTAAAATTAGTCGCAATGTTCTTTGCTTAATAAATCTGAAAAAAATGAAGCTAACATTACTGTTACACTTCTCAAAGCTTTTAATTAATAGAATGCATTAGAAACTTCCAAATTTAAATTTTACTTTTCCATAAAACACAAATCACCATCTCCTGCAACAAATAGTAGTAGTAGTTGTGTGCTATCAGGATGGAATCAACTCATAGCTTACTCTCTGGTGGGTTTTCAAAGGCAGTTAATCACATGAGAAGAGACTGTTCATCTTCTCCTGCAGAGGAGCTGGTAGATTTGAACCGCATGCCTTTGGAATGGCAGTGTAGCTTCTTACCACTAGGCCACAAGAGCTCCCTCTTGCAATAGTAATCTTGGAAATCTCAATCTGAGACATTTCAAAATGGAAACTATTAGCCAAAATGTTGAAAGTTTAAATCTACCTAGATAAGCCTTAGAAAACAGCATTTGTTGCTTGCTGTTCTGTTAAATTTTGCTATTTTGACTGGGGTGAAATGATATCTCATAGTTGTTTTAATTTGCATCTCTCTTAGGGCTA